AAAAAGAAAGCTAGCTGTAGTGTCAGAAAAGCACCAATGTCTTAGTGCCAGTACAGGCAAGTTTTTCATACTTTGGAAGCCATATGGTTGGAGAAGCCAAATTATTACAAATATAATCAACAACCTGTAAAACATGAAAAGATTTTTTAAAAATCTTTCCAAGACAAGAAATTGAGAGGTATTCACTTCTAGTTTGCAAATCACTATTTCACTTGCACAAGGAAAGGTGTGGTAAGAAGTCACAATAGACTGAAGTAGACTAACAAAGTTAAATTTTCAATCTACTTGCTATGAAATTTATTTTGCTTACTGTCAGAATGTGTAACTCTGTAGAGGAGAGGATTCAATATAATTAAAGGTTTGTTTATTTTTCACATTAAAAACACATGAAGCAGCCTTTTACTAGCTCAAACCCTTTGATCCATCTAACCTGGTAGTATCTGACTGGCAGCAGCTCTTCAAGAATCCATGTAACTAAGATTTTTTTTTTAAAGAAGAGCCATGGGGAACTGAACTTAGGATCTTTTACATGCAATGCATGTATTCGACCTTAAATATTAGTGAAAGCCAGGAGCTTGTTTCTTGCTCAACATGTATATCTGAATGGATCAATGAGCGGGAATTTGAGCAGAAGATAGAAGACACTGGCTGAGTTAGAGAAAACTGCAAGCCATGTGGCCAAGTTGGGTGGGGGGGGGGGGTTTACAATTGTTGGTCATGTTGTCTGACAGCCATAGTATTTCATCATGGTCTTTAGAAACCATGATAAGAACAATGGTTTTTCTATACCACCATGGTTTGTCATGTCTGGACCCAAGATTGTGGTTCCAATCCTTCTTATCTGTACCTACCACAGAGTCCTCTGGAAAGAGTTGCAATTGCAGGAGCTGTTCCAGCCACCCAGCCTCTACGCATGGACCAGTGAAGAAGAGAGAGGCAAAATAGCCAGGGAGTGATGCACCTTGAAACTGAATGCAGGTAGCTGATGCAGTAGCTGACTGAATACATGCCAAAGGTAGGAGGACTGAGCAGGGAAAATGGAAATTAAATTAAAGCAGAAACCACTTGATAGTTTGTCAGGTAGATCATGAACTGTGGTAACTACACAGGGTTACTTGTCGTATTGTACGAATGCAGCCCACTGTGTACCTACAGCATGGGGAGTGGGCACTTAAACCTTTCAGCTATTGTTTATGCAGATATGGCTGCATAAGAGATGAAACAGTGACATGAAAACTATTTAAGTAGGTTGGGGATTACTGAAGATTGCCAGTATACTTATTTCCAAAACACTGATTTTAAATAAGTCATAGCAATTTAAGAAATAGCAATTTAACTGCAACAGACCAATACCAATAAGGATTTAAGCTCTTAAATTTCTAGTGCACAAAAGCTAGCAAACAACTATAAAAGCAAAGAGCATCAAGTTGACCCAAACTCTTAACAACAAGAACAATGAACTGATTCACATGCCATAGTTGCAAGTGATGATTTATTTAACTGACAATTAATAGGGCTGTGCGGCACCTGTAAGCCACTTCCCTTTTCTGTAAAAAACAAAAAAGCAACCCCCGCCCATCAGCTTAAGCACAAGCTCAAACTGATGGGCTATTTAAGTGTAAGCCCATGGTGTGTTGTTAACATCGGACTGTTTAGCCTTAAAACAACCCAAAGATCCAGGTTCACATGTCATAATGACAGTTTCTGCTTGAACCAATCAAAGTCTTTACAGAAAACAAAAGTAGCTTGCACATAATGTGAATTTCTGTAAATCATAGAATTAACTGTAAGGCTGATTAATTATAAAATATTTGGATTATTTATTAATATTAATTAATCCAGGAATCGCCACTAAATGCCACCATGATTTGCAAACAGCCTTATTATGAATATAAATTTGGTAGCGGGCATGACAAGAGTGGAACTACAAATGAAACACCCAAGAATTTCTCTGATTACAGTTCGACCACTATAGACTTTAAGTGCGGGCAGTAGCTTTAAAAATACAAATAAATGACAGGCAATATACAACAGCAAAGGTGCCCAGCACAGAATGCAACATGTACCACAATTATTTTGTTTTGGGCTATGAATTTCTACATCACCAGGGTATTCCATTTCAAACAGACCTAAATTTAAATCGAATTGACCTAGATCTTGGGGATCAAGAACTGAATCAAGAACCATCTGCAGATGCAAAACATCTACATATTCACTCAGCTGTATTAAATCACCTGCATTTTATTAAACTTTGATTCCAGTTTTATTTGTTTTTAGACAGACTAAAATTTCATTTCAACTTTCCTTTTAATTATTTAGTTACAGCAAAGTTTCTAGCAATTATGTACGGGGTATTTATGTCGAATTAGAACTATACAGCGTTTATGTATTTGCATTTTCCAGGAGCATTCCAAAAGTTTGAGAAAAGTAACAGGCACAAAAAAATCAAATGTAAGCACACTCACATATATTCAGAGTCTAACCCCTGGAGGTTTCTGGAGGTCAGGTTGAACTTGGTGCATCTGAAAGATGCCCATTTTGGCCTGTTTCCAGAAGGAGGAAACACCAAAGAACTGAAATTCCTGAACACAGTGCAAGAGAGGATCAGTAAAATAGCATACTATTTATCTCTGAGATAAAATTTAGGGGAGATGTTTTAGAACTTGATGGTGCAGTTAAGATACTACCTCAATCTTTGAGGATGACTGTTGCCCAATATGCTTCCTCTTCTCTTTCTGTTTCTCTTAATAAAATAAAATGTTCTGTAGCTTGTTAATCCTCAGCTCCCCATTACATTGAAACTAACAAAGTATGGTGTAGTCTGACTGCAGGCCAGGATCAGCTCTTGGGTTGTGTTCAGAGAGTAAAGTACAATTTACTGGTTTATATCTGATATGAAACTGATTTAACCAATTACAAAAGCTTTCTATTACAGCACATGAGTAAACTAAGAGGGGAACATATGGACATAACACATATTGAAGATCCTATAAGCCATGATTTATTCTATGGAGACAGTTACATCTCAACCAGGCTATTATGTTAAAACAAGTAAACAGAACACATACCACCCAAGTGCAGATGTTGAAGCACAGATGTAACACACTTCCTGCCACCAAAGCCTTGTCTCAACCATTCCCTGTGCTTCTGGAAACATTCATCTTTATGGGCACCTCCAAACAGAAAACACTGAAGTGTCCTGCTCTACACTGATGATCTGAACAATGACTAAAAATTCCTTATCCAACAGCAAAAGCTACAAATAAATCATCAGATGGAATTAGTGGAAGTCACTTTCAACTGAGTCTTCTAAGCATGACTAAGGATGCATAAATGCATCAAGATTTGATTAAAGGGAAAAACTAAGACCAATCTATGGTTAGAGTCCCTACCTCCGAAAGATCACAGATCTGCCAACCAGCACAATTCACATCTTAAAGAGAGTTACTTCAGCTGACACAGTTATATTCAATTTCCCACCCTCTCCTAACACCAAATAAACATTCTGACTGTATACTCTGGTTTAGAAACCACAGATAAAGCTGTGTTGCCAGCGTGTTAGTTGCACCTTTACTTGTATAATCAATAATCTAAATGATATAGTCTAAGGCACATAGGGAGCATAGAAACCTTCAGCGCCACCTGGATAGGGTCCCCAACATGGGGTCTGCAGGACTCGAAATATAGATACTTACATGAATTTTATGAAGTGCATACAATGTCTAAGAACTATCTGCATTGGTTTCAATAAAAGCAGACTAAATATCTAAGTATCCATCTGAAGGTGGCATCTATATGCTACCTATTCAGCTACTAAAAGCACCATAATAATCCATTGCATTATTAAAGGTGTTTACCCTTACAGGTTTCTAATATCAGTCTTTTAGATATCAATATATTTTCCCCTCCATTTGTTAATTTTGATGAAGGTAAATAATTTAAATGAGCACATGTCAGTGAATATTAAATTTGTACTTGAATAGTCTTTTTCTGTGTAATATGCTCCTCCCATAAGAGAGTGCTACCAGGCATTGCCAAAACAAATTAGACAATCCCTTAAAGAAAAACTGCAGTGTCCAACAGATATGAGACAAGTTTTGCAGAATAAAACTCATGCTAAGATCTGTAGATGCCAAAGCAGTGACTGACTAGACCATGGGTCCTCAAACTATGGCCCAGGGGCCAGCTCCAGCCTGCCATGCCCATTTGGACCCGCCGCGTGCCCACACCCATGGGCGCACCTGCCGCTGCCCACCTTGCCCTGTGCACAGGGAGGCAGCGGTTTGCTCACCTGGAGGAAATGATCTCCAAGCGAGCAAGCCACTGCCTCGTGCGCCTGCCTTGTGGCACGTGGCTGCCCCAGCCTGCGCATCGCATCGCCTCGCACCCTCCCCCACCTCAACGCACTTGCCCACATGCACAAGCCCCGTCCCCGCGCCAGCCTGGGCACATTGCCAGCACCACCTTTCTGGCCCCAGCCCAGCACCTTTCATCTGGCCCCCTGGTGGAAAAGTTTGAGGACCCCTGGACTAGACATTTTGCAGTGGGGCCAAAAGCAGTATCTTAAATGTGCCGATACATCCAAAAAGAATGGGGATCCCTGGCTTAGTAACCAGAAACAATTGAAGTGGTAAAAGTATTAAAAACAAAGTGGAATTCTGTCCAGAAAAGATTCCAAGCAAATATATTATCATCAACAACTTTAAAAAGGAGCTTGTGGAAGTACTAAAGTGCTTACATCAAGTTCTGCAACATCCTCAAGTCATGTTAGCACTTCTTGGTAATCTAATGTACCAAGCTGGCAGAAAAAGATCCAAGAAAGTGATGTTCAGAATCCAAACACTATAGTTAAACTGACAAGAAAACAATGCTTACAAAAACAAAGATTGGTTATTGGTTATTGATACAGATATTAAAATAACATTTTTAACAAAAGTCAAAAAGATGCTTCGTACACATTTCAGCCAACAAGATAGTTTTGTAGGCTGCTACATACTTACATAAATGAGCCCAGAATAGTATCGGTCCTTCAAATTATGCAGAACAGAAGCTTCATTTAAGCATGTTAATTCTGCCATGTCTTCCACTTTAGAAAATTTGGGAGGATTCATCTTCTGAATATCATCTTTGTTTACAACCGCTTTCTTTCCATTTTCAGCCAGTTCAACCAAAACTTCATCTCCCCTCTCCTCTTTGATGCTGGCTGCTTCAAAGCCATGACGTTCTGAAGGAATCCACACCAATTTTTTAGCAGTCCAGTCAGCCTGTGTAGCAGGGTTGTAGATTACTGCCCTGTCCACAAAGAGATATCTCTCAGGGTCCTCCAGTACTGTCCGCTGTGCCATCATAATGGAAATATCCAACAAATGTAACCTAGTAAAAATGAAAAGAGATTGATTTGTCAATTACTAGTAACCACGAAATGTTTGGCCTCTTAAAGACAAGGAAAGTGTGTTTTGCCAGACTCTCATATTCTCAAGAGCTACCCATAAACACACAGATCAGTTTATGAAACTTCTTTAAGGATAACAACTTTGAAAGACAGACCGAGTCATGAAAGAGCCACCAACAAGGACCTGCTAGAAAAGTCAGAAAACAGTTCTGCCATTCTGGCTCAAGAAAAATTGAAGGACAAAAACATTCCCTGAAAGATGATATAAAGCTCCTAGGTAGGAAGCATGGAGATGCTTCTATATGTACCAGTAGAGCTGGAAATTTTTCCAATGCTCTGCATGGCTTGCTTGACTCATTTTTACTCCCAACACACATTCATCCTCAATAAACATACTAAATATCTCATATTTAGCAAACAGAACTAAAACGCATTTCATGTCAATTTTATGCATGCTAGAAATACACTGAATCTATAGCTGCAAAATATATTTTCCCAATAGCTGCAAAATATTTGAACTAAATCATCTGCTTAGGAGGAAATTAACCACACAATATAGTTTAAAAGTTATATTCAGACACATTGAAGGCTTTATGCAAAAACTATTTTATTAAAATATTTGTAAAAATTAAAGACAATAGCCTATATTGCCTTTGGTAGTTTGTTTATACATAACAAAAATATATAGACCTGAAAGAATACACAGTTTTCAGAATATATACCCAGAGAAAGCCAGAATATAAATCTGGTCCAGACACAGCCAGGAGCCAGCTACATTGTACACAGGAAGCCGTTATCATACCTTATTTTTTAGTTCCTGCATCGGCAACTGAGCACTATGGTTTGTCAATGTTTGCCTTAGAATAACAACTTATAGTGGTTTGTATCCTAAATTTAGCCCATCTAACATGATCAATTACAGTATGACAGCCCAGACAACCATGGATAAACACTGGCATGGAAATTTTTCCATAAATAGCTGGCATGACAATTTTTCCATAGAAAACACAGCAGGACACCTGTATCTGCCTGGCTCAGTTACCACTTAACTGGGTTCACCTTGGCCAAAAGAGAAGTAGCAAACTGCTTCTTGAAAAAGCAAGTTTTAATAAGAAAAGAATTGTATGTAAGACTGAAGGAAAATGTGAAGGAAATAGTATATGAACACACTATAGTGTTTGCTGTTATCCATGTTTTCAGGCATTCACTGGGAGGCTTGGAAAGAATCCATGTGGATACAGGGGTCCTGCTGCATATCATCAGAAAATTTCCCATTTTTGGAAGTGTTCTACCCCACATCACTGATGTTTATCAATCTGTCCTCCTATTGTCTGGGACCTTATCTTGTTACATATTAATTCCATTCTCTGAAATCTCCTAGCCTTTCTCCAGTTTGCTTGCAACTCCTCCATCTAAAGCTCTGACCTGAGCAGGATGGGAAAGAAATGATAAGCAAATGTTCTATAATTTCTTGCAGCAAACTAACCTCATAGTCTACAGATTTTAGATTGAGGCAGTGCACCAACTTAGAAAAGAGGTCCTCTCATCCTAGTTGCTTTCCTTTTCAGCCATGAAATGCTTGATTTACGTGGTGACTTTACCTCCTCAATCCTTTTAATACAGAAATATCCTTAAGTCTCACCCCCACTTAAACTTCAAGACTCAAATAAAACTCCCATCCTCAGATCTGTTTAGTCATAAGCCTTGAAACAGCCAAAGCAAACAGCATAACTTATGCATGACACTTGAACAGTGGTGACTTATAATGCATTTTAGTTAATGTGACTTCAAGATGAACTTTGATGTCTACAATAGTGCAGTGTACAAACAAAAGAATATCAAACTATAATAGAATATGTAATATTTTTGAAAAAGTAAACGTCAAAGAAATATTTAAAGTATTCATAGTACTTATATATTCCAACATTAAGAAAGCAATCTGAGTCATAAAACTTCACCATTAAGCAGCATGGGCTTATGAAGCATAAAATCAATTACATTTGTTTTAATGGAAGAGCATACTTTCTTCAATAGCCAAGATACACCTATGCCCCCATACTCTTGTTGCTTCCAGGTCTGGCTTGTTGTAGTTTAGTCCAACAGTCACCCATTGATTGTAGTTGAGTTAAACTTTGGATTAACCCTAAATCACCAGGAGTTCTGGGTTTGGACATCACATCAAATAATCAAGGAACACAGCATTCCTGGGTTGAATAAAGCCAATTCAAAATGTAAGTGGCAAGCATTTAGAATATAGTGCACTTGTTGTTTCAGTTATAAAGCAAGCAACCCATGGATTGTCATGACATGTTACCCAGGATATTGTGAAACTTCCAAGCCCATGCAAGCTGAAGTCAAGTTTTGTGCTATGCTACTAGTTACCTGAAATTATAGTGCTCTAAAGTTGAACCAAGTTTTCTTTTATCAACTAGCAGCTAGTCAGTTTTACAGCCCTTACAACATCTGGTAAAGTACTCCATTTAACAGTAAGTAGTACATTACCCAATAGTACTACCTAACAGTAAGTAGTACAATAGAAATAATGCTTCATGTCTTCCATGTATTGCTTAACTGCTACAGTCAACCCACTGTCCAAAAATGCCATCCAAGTTTAACTGGGAAGATAATTCCCGCTATGCAAGATACATCTGACTATAGATACTTGAAAAAAGAGTAATTTTGTGTATCAGAAGTTGCTCGCCATAAGATTCATCTCACCATAAGATTCTGCACTCTTAACATGCAGAATAGCTGCAAGATGGGCTGCCCTCTTCCAATATTTCTGGAGATGTCTATGCTGTTTTGGGCAGAAACAGACGGAGATGCAGAACCAATACTAGCTGGTTACTATATATAAGTTACTCATCATGCTGGAATGGATTTTATCCACACCATTAAACTTATCCTAAGCCCCTCACCCCTTAAAATCAACAAAATGTAAAAATCTTTAACACCCATTTCTAAGGAGGCCCAAAAACCATTCTATATAGAAAATATTAAGAATGGTGCATTTAAACTGAATTCATTCAGATCACCCTCCTTCAAGTGAGCATTCAGTGAAGTATATTACTAGTGTCCATACTGACAGCATTTTGGTCTGTTAAGTCACAAAAGCTTAACAAATACAAAGCAAGCATGAAGACATTCAATCCACCAGAGGGCCTTGAAGTAGCTTGCTTCACTTGCTGCAGACCAGTTGAATTCACATCATTTAGACCAAGAACCAACTACAAGTAAGCACAGTCAAGACTGCACAGTGGTTCAGGAAAAACTGCTCATAAAACAGGAACCACAGAGCGAAAGGAGCATTGGAGAGGCTGCTCCAGCTGAATGCAGAACTAAAATAAGCAAAACCTAAAGCAAGAACAATTTACCCTCTATATAAAGCTATAAGCAAACTGCTATAAGCTAAACCAAGATGGCACCTTTGAAACAGCAAATAATGCATCTACAGCAGCATTCTAATAGTGGAACCCCATATGTACAGTTGTTTTGCATAATTTACTATTTATAATAAAATACAGTAGCTATTTCTTTTTCCTCCTTGTTAACTGGGAACATAAAAGTCAAAAACAATTCCAAGTGTCCCAGGGCTGCCTGGTAATCAACTTAGAAGCCACACATTCCTGAATGCATCTTCTGATACAAACAAGAAAGAAATCACTGATACCGTCCAGAAAAGCACAAATAATCATATCCCCTTTTTGCTTCTCACTGGACTACCTGGTTAATTTGTCATTCTTATTTTCTATTTATGACAAAGATTCTATTCCAGTGTGTGACAAAATATCACCAGCCATTTCTCTCAATTAAGGAGAAAAAGTCATTCCATTATTGGACTGCCCCTCTCATTTACAACTTCAAACAAAAGTGACTGGAACAAGGAAAGTACAAATGTATCAATGGGGGGAGCCAGAAGGGGGCTGTTCCTTGCTGCCTTTTCAAGGACACAGAACATCTTTCATACATCTGTAGCATCTCGCATGTAAGACAGAGCAATGATACTGGCCTAACAGATTAAACTGCTTTCATCCTTTGAGGTGAACAGGCCAGATTTTTTTTCAGAAATAATTGAAGCAAGCTCCAAGTTTGGAACCAGCTAACGACAAGAGGGCTGTGCTACAACCTCCTATCCTCACCAAAGGAGAGAGCAGAGGTTACAAACGCCATCCATGGACGTGTACTAAGACCTCCATGGGGCAGAAATTATGAGGAAGGGACCGTCTAACCTACATGGGAGGAGGACGCCCCACTACCACACAAAAAGAGCTTTGGAGGCGAAGGCACCAGAACCTCCGACCCTAATCCTCGTAATACCACGAAGAAGTGCACACCATTCCCACACACACCACGAAGGTGAACATCTCCTCACTTCAACCGCCCCTACCCCATCCGGCAATCCCACCCCACCCCCTTAAACAAAGGGACACGTGCGTTTCTCTACGACCCGGCCCCACAGCAGACAGCCCTTTTTGATATATGCATTGCCGCCTATCGAAGGACGGCGGGGGAGGGGGAGCATGAAGGAAGAGCCATTGCAGCCGTCTCCACCACCGCTCCGGGAAGGGAAGAGGGTCGTTCATCTCATGCGCCTCACACAACACTCCCAGAGAGAACGGGCGCGGGCGGGCGGGCGGCGGGAAGGGTCCGAATATGCGGGGAAAAGAAAGGCAGAGGCAGGCGGCGACCGGGTCAAGGAAGACAACCGCACTAGCGGGGACACGACTACTTTTAGACGCCCTCCCACCGCTGGCCCAGACGAGGCGGGAAACTGTGGGGACCGGGGGGAACAACACCGAGCGCGGGCTGCAGCCTACGCCTCCCCTCCTCCCTCCCCCCCCTCACGCACCCCACCTGTACGCGGCGCGCGCCCTCCGCTCAGCTGCGACGCTGGTCCGCTATGCGGAGCCGTCCCTCAGCCCGGCGCGCGTTCGAACCGACTCCGCGCTATAGCCGCCCCGCCCCCGCTCGCGGCGCCTTTAGCGCCACACCGAGCACTCCCCACCTCCTGGCTTGTCCCGCCCCCCCACCAAAGAAAGCCACCGAGCCTCCCACTGGCCGACTCACTCACCCATCCACGTCCTCCCTCACTGTCTATTGGCCTCCGGGCAGGCCCACCCAAGCCAAGCTCATAGCAACCTCCTCAAGCTTCTCCGCTGAAATACCTTCCCCGCCCTCTCCGCCGTCCAGGGGAAAGCGTCTATTGGCTGGCTGGCCCTGCTTATCAAGAGGAAAGGTTGCTTTCAATGGCGGACCTCTTATGCTCGTCACTGGCGCACATCGAGGGAGGCGGGATATAGCGAATGTAGGGTTCGCATCTGCAGTAGCCCTTTTCCCCCAGTCGCTCTTTTCGGTGCATTCCTCAGCGGGTTCAGCCACGCTACCCCAGACGGGGATCACGGCACGTGAGGTCGGGTGTGGTGGCCGGGATAGCAGAAGGCTTGCTCGGTATAGCCGAGGAGAAACAATGTCGACGTTCCTTCTGGTCGGTACTTGAGTCGCATGTAGCACCCCGCCCACTTGCACCGTCGGTGGAGCTGCAGCAGGGCACCCGCCCTCTCTTGCATGCTGGCATAATGAGAACGCCGACGACTGTGATGGGTAGGAGGCTTTTCCGCCGCGCATCGCCTGAAGCTGCATGTAGCTCTGCGTGCGAATAGCCCCGATCAAGGCCTCCGTGGTTTGCTGCATGCAGCGTGCCCACCACCAACCACATAGGGGCCGTGGCGCTGCAGCCAGCCAACAGCCTGCATTGACCACACCTTTATGCTTATTTCTGCTTACGGAGCCCCACTTCGCATGCTCTCTGCACTGAGCATCCTCACGGCCACGGCCAAGTGTGTGTGATGTGCTGCTTCCTAACGCTGATTTACATGTCTTAAAATACCACCCTCTTCATCTTGGAAAACTACCCTTTACCTTTGGCTGCCAGTGCAAATAATATAACCATCTTCCCCATCCCCGAGCTTGATGACCTGTGCACATTTGCACATAAAGTTGTCCTGCCTTGAAAGGAGCACCTCTAATCTCTTGACTAATGGCCTCCACTCCAGCATAGTCCCTCACAAATGTACTCCTCCTCTGCCAGGTCACATAAGTCACATATGTGCATAATATACATTGCCCTGTAACTGGACATAGCTATTTCAATTGTAGCACAACTATTATTTATTTCAATGCATCTCTTGCTATTTTGCAGGATGTTCTGCAGACTGTATTGTTTAGGAGCTGCTACTGTCCTTTAAAGAATTTCAGAACCGATGCAGATACCAAACTCTGTGAGAGAGTATGTGTCTTTTTAAACCCTAGTGATCATATTTTGATTTCAGTGAAGCAGTAGTGTGGTTGGTTTATATGTATGCCTGCTTGGAGAGGACTAGAGCTTGCTGTGAGAGGTCACAGCCTAATTGGATCTGATCAGATGATACCCATTAGCATGACTGTATGTGTACTGGACTAAAAAAAATGCACACAGTCACAAATTCTTCATTGAAAAAATCTGAATTTTGTGACTTTATTATAAAGATGTATATATATGGTTATGCTCATAATATATCTTGTGAACACTTGTCAAGAGAAGAGGCAAAGAACAATAAGATACTGAAGCCCCAGTGCTTGAAAATTCTACTAAATTCCCACCCCATTCCTTTTCCTGATGACTTTTCTGGGCTGTCATCAGGCCACTATCTTTGCAAATATGTTGACTAGAAACATAGATTGAAGATGAGAATGTCAGGAGACTGAATTTTACATCCTGAACAAAATCCTGCACTTAAACAATTACATAGAACTGCAGGACACACAGAGTCCTACCCATCTAGTTAACTTGAATGAATTAAATTAAGACTGGGTTTTCTTTCATTGTTGAATGAGAGTGGGATAATTCAGGGTATTGTAAGTTGCATTTGTAAACATCTTTTAGAAGGAGGAGAGCTGTTTATAGTTTGGAGGTGTGTTTTCCTGCTATAGAACAACATTCTTTATATACTTAGTTTCCTTATATACTCAGTTCTGCCAAGTCACTTGCAGTGGTTTATGGTTTCCAATGCAAAAACAAAAGATAAAAACTAAAGAAGGAATTTGATTCAATATCACTTGGGTTTCTTGGTGATGTTATCAAATGCAGGGGCTGATTTGGGGAGTGGAACAAACAGCTCTGTTACTGTTAGAAACATAGAAACAGAGCGAGTCAGAAGGGACCTCCCGGGCCATCTAGTCTGACCTCCAGCACCAGCTGGCTCCACTCACGACATGCCCACGATGTGGACGTCCAGCCTGTCCTTGAACACCCGCACCGATGGGGCCTCAACGACCTCTGTTCATTTGGGCTTTAAATTTTCTGGGTTTGATTCAGGTTCTGCCTTCCATGGACAGAAGGGTTCTGCTCACAGATGGTGCCTCAGCCCAATTTTTGGGACATCTGCTGTTCCAAAGCTGTCCCATTTAGCAGGATCCTTGACCTTCTGTGTAGCATTTTTTGTGGGGCTGGGGATTCAAGGGGCTGCTGTGGGAAGAAGGAAGTGACAGGTCCATTTTTGTCAGCCCAGTTCCATGTGTTTAAATCTGGAACTATTCCTCTCTTGCTAAAGCACTAGCCCCTGGAGAAATCACAGGAAATTAGCAATGGGAAAAGCAGAGGAGGAATGCTGAACAAAAAAGATGGAGTAAGACTTAATAGCTACCTAAGTTTACTGTTTGAGATCTAGTGTGTTCCAGTTGTTAAATCTGCAATCTTAAATATATTTACTCGGAACACCGTGAGGCTGATTTCTAAGCAAACATATATGAGATGTAAAGATGCAGTTCTGCAGCTGGAATTGAGCTGATGGAGGGGCCACTGCACTGGCAGAGAGTAAGACCTACTGGCAGGGTGGCATTTATGCTGCAGGATGGCTCTTGTTATGTTCACAAGATGCTCCAGGGGCATAAATGTTTTGAAATCGAGCATGCCTGGTGCATCCAAGCCAGCAAGCTTTTCAATTAAGTGGTTTGTGGTTTGGATGGTTGTATTGGATATCATCATCATGTATTATATTTCAAGTGGCAGATGATATACAGCATCCTGAACCCCATTGCTGCCCTAACATGCCTCCCAGAGGCCCACAGTTGCACCATTGTTTTGCCCATGACTGAGCTGCAAAGAAGGAAGGCCCTCTTTTATCTCCGCATTGTTGGTGGGAATGTAAGTCTGAGAATCATTTAAGATACTCTAGTGAGGTTATGACAGAGTCTCTCCTTGGTCAGACTCACATTCCTATTCACAATATACAGATGATAAAAATGACCTACCTTGCAAGGTTGTGAAAATTGCAGCAAGAAAATATGCATGAAGCACTTTGAGTACTCTTAAGTAGCTCTCCAAATTATTTGAACTACAATGCCCATCAGCATCCATCTCCATTACAAATGCTTGAGGGGAATCCTGGGAGTTGCTTAGAACATCTGGAGTAAACCAGTAAAAAGTGAGGGTGGAATATAAAGCGATGGACTAGGAGATCCAGGTTCTAGTCCCCATTCAGCCATGAGGCTCACTGAGTGACTGGGCAGGTCACAGACTCTCAGTCTAGACTGTCTCACAGGATTGTTGCAGTGCGGATAAAATGGGGAGAAAAAGTTTGGGAATCCCCTTGGGTTCCTTGCAAGAGGAAGAAAGGAATGCTATAATTGTGGTGGTGGTAGTGATGATATACAAAATATTAGAATTAGTTTGATTCATCTTTGAGACCTAATCTTCCAGGGGTTTTGCATACATATTATGTCTGAACTGTCTATCCCACTGATACAAAGTGATACTGCTTTTGGGTTGAGAGGTGAAAACTAACAATCCTTGGGGGGGAAAGAGAGGTTTTATAAAATTAAGCATGCTTAAAAGGAAAAAAAAGGTAAGGCAAGGGCTTTATTTTTCCATTTTTATGATAAGCTTTTTGTTATATAACGTTGACTTCGGGAGTTTTCTGCTATCTCCAATTGGAATGGAAGCCAGCTGGATCAGCTTCCAGGAAAGAGCAAGACTGAAGCAGACAGGCAATGGCTGATCATATTATTTCCAGTCCTAAATGGAGCAATGGGGGCCAGCCTTACCATTAGGCAGAGTGAGGCAGCTACCTAAAGCAGCTGATTGCGAGTTCCATGAAGGAGCTACAAATGGTTTCCTGAATATTTATTGTATTTTTACTGCCAGGAGAAGGGGAGAGTCACTTTGGGGGTTTTCTGCCTCAGGTGAAAAGCAGCTTCTTGAGCCTTTAGTGCTGTGCACTTTGGTTTGTTGAAGGAGGCCTATTTGCTTCTCTGTCTCCAACAACAGATTGTCTTGCAGCAGCTATGAGTAACGAGGTTCATGCAGAAGCAAGCCAGAGAAGAACCTTTCCATTTCCCAACTGTATATACCTTGGTGCTGTTAGCACATAAAGGTGGGCAATAGCACAGAATTAGCTTTCTTACCTTGCATCCTGTATTCACACACTCATGAGTAATCACTCATAAGTAGTTTCCACAGGTAACCAGCTTCCCTCCAAATGGCGGCATATATCCCAGCAGGCCCCTGTGACTGGGGATCAATCCATTGTGCATCACTCCTGCTTGCCCCACCCGCCTCTCCCCTCTTGGGCCACATGATCCCCTGGCCCTGTTCTCAGCTTGCTGCCTTGTTCTCCTCTCCTGCTGCTCTGTGAAGCCCTGGTTATTCACCAGAGTGGCATGGTTGCTTTAGGGGAGCACTGCAGGGATGCCCTCTGCTGCTGCTCCGCCTGGTGTCCATGCGCAAGTACCTCCCCGCCACCACACCCCCCCTACTTCCTTGCTGCACGTGTTTCCACTGTACACACACATGCTGCAAGGGCTGCCTCTTCCTGCGTTCAGGTGCAAAGAGGCCCCTGCATGTGCACCTGTGCCAGGGAAGATGGGAGTGCATCCTGCAGGGGTGGGACCACATGTGGGCATCTACTGGGGAAGTTCTCTGGCTAGACAGAAGGAATGTTAGTTGTGCGGGGAGACAGCAGGGCATGCTGAGAGTCCCCAGGAGTTCTAGGGACGAGATCAGAGTGACAGGGAAGGAGGCGATAGAGCGGGAGACCTACACCCACACACAGCCAATGTGCTCCTCTTGGGCAAAGCTGCCTTCGCAAGTTGAGCGCGTGCACAGGCATTAAGAGCTCTGCTCCAGCAAAGTCCGGCGACCAGACACAAGTGCCGAGCGGGCCTATCGCCAAGGTCCCTGGTGCCGGAGATGCCCTGGTGCCACTGGTGTTCCAGAGCTGCAACTGGGCATCAGGAAGCCAGTGCGTGGACAGAGGGGCTTCCTGATAGGCAAAGCAGCACGGCGCAAAACAGAGGTCTGAGTGCTTGTTGCGGCTGCTTTTGCCTCCAAACCCCATGACAGAAATGGAGAAACTACAGAAAAACATTGTAACTGAATTCACACACAACAAAGAGCAATGATGAAATGTGGAAACTTTAGAACAGAGCAATGATTCTCTATGGGGATTTCAGGTAAGCCACACGTGCCACACTTCACCATTCTTCTTGGGGCTCACACATTCCTGCCATGGCTTGTCATTATGTGTGAACACAGCCCTTTTTTTCTCATCATACTCAGTACTGACGGCTGTCATGCAGACCAAGGAGGCCACTAGCAAAATTCCTTTGGTTTACAGCTAAATTTGAAGCTGCTTGACGGGGAATATGTTGGAGATAAATGGCTTAAAAAAGCATGAGCGGTCCAGTTTGTCTTAAATGCTTTAGGCTAAGTAGCGGCTATGACTTGTGAAAGTTTGCTTTCTGGGGTGCTGAAAACACTGCCCATAAACTCAGAAGATATCGATTCATATGCAAAATCCTGCATGCACTGTGCTTACATTGCCCAAAAGAGTGCTGTGTTAGCAATGACTTAATCAAGTTCTGTTCACTGTGTCTAGGTCTCGGTGAGCAATAAAAAAGAGAGATTGTCCTGTACCTATTTATCTTACCACATGTCCCCAGAAAGGCCATAGATGACTAGTAATCTGATAAATGGAATATGCCCAAATGCTGATGTAAGGAAAGATTTTCTGGAGCATTTTACCTTTGTATTTTGAAACAGTGCATCTTGGGATACTGCCTAGAATTAGGTTTACTCAGGTAAATTGCAGGACATGGTTTAATTTGATATTGTAATCCCTTCCTAAAGACATAGCACCATTAACATATCCTTAAACAGCACTGCTTTCTTTCATTGTAGGTACAGTGTAGTTTAAACAAGGGCATATAGGCCATGATTTTAACAGTAATGAAGTGATGGTTAAATAGGGAAATAAAATCACCAGCTTTTGAAGGTGGGGGTTACTTACAAACTAAAATATAAGTTGGGCTACATAAAATTTAAAATCATAAATCATATTCTAAGAAGAAAAAAGGTGTAGGTGAAACCCATAATCCAAAACAAGATTTCTATGGTCAAATGAAATACTTTGTGGCTATATTTGCATATCACTTTGGGCACATAATTATGGCTTATGTGATAGGATGTGAGCAAGCAGCATGGTACTGTTTATAGCCTATCCTTTCAGTCCTCCTCACCCTTTGCAGAGGTGGGTAAACTAATCAGAAACTAATCAGATCTTGTGACATTTGAACCCAGGATGCAGGCTACACTAAAGCCAGGTTCATGAGCCAGTTTTAAACCAGAGTTTGTTGTTAGCTTACAAATGCTGGCTTGTTTACATGCATGAAACCATTATCATGGATCAGACGCCAAAAGGAAGAACGCCTTTCCTAGTTAATCTGCTGACATGAAGGGAGGAGCAAATAATAGTGTGCATCAGCATGCTGCTTATTCACATTTAATGTATTAAAGTACAATCCTAATTCTGTTTAGACAGAAAAGGGCCTACAACTTCCAGTATGGCAGCCTGCAGCATGCTGAGATTTGTAAGCCTTTTTTCCCTGGCTAAACAGGCATAGTATTACCTCCTAAGTCATAATTTTTATGTAAAATTGCATATAAAAGGAGCTAACATTTAATTAAGTTTACCACTTCACAGGCAGGATTAGTAATCTCAGGTACAGAGCCCAGTTCATGAATGAGGGGCAAGAATGTAGGCAACTGGGCAACGTCATTTTCTGTTACTACTTTCCCAATTCTTATGCCATAAAGAATGTCATGCTGCAGGGTTGGGGGAGAGCAGGTATCCAGTTAAATAGGCACTGCTACTCTGAAGGATCTGTGGCACCCACATTCACCCCATATTCTCTGTGTAGGTCTGAAAATGGATATCAACCCTTGTTTCCACCACCACCACTAGCAGCAGCTGCCCAGTTTTCTTAGGAAGAAGGAAGGAATAAGTGACAGAGCCTATCAGGAGGACTTCTTAAGGTTAAAATTGTTCTGTGTAGAAGCTGTCTGCTTAGCCACTTCCACTGTTTTACTTTCCTAATTTGTGGCTCATCACAAATGTTTCTCATATGCATAGAAAAGCAGAGTCACAGTTTTCAAGCATTGTCAAACTAGTTATAATAGCATGGTTGGAATCACTCTGGAACTAAACAGGAATGGGCTGACCTCACTGTGTTTTGGAAAAGGGTACATAGGGTACAAAGATACAGAGGGAGTCAGACTTCTTGGCTCTGTCATTACCTCTTAGTCATATAAGTTCATGCGAGTCACTTCACTTCTCTGTTCGACTAATAGTCTCTCTTCCTGAGCTATTGAATCATTAGTGTTAATTCAAGTTTATGTGCAAAGTGTTGGAATGTTACTTCGACAGTTGTACTATTTTTATCTAGTAATCTCAGGATGGTGCATGTCCTAGATAAGGGCTGGATGGCCATTTTTGGTGTCAAAGAAAGACATTCCACTAAAAAATGAAGGAGAGGTCAGATACTTGTGCGGGGTTTATATTGGAGAAGAAAAGTGGTGAAAGGAAAAACAAAGGATTTAAAATCATAGGCTGGGAAAGCCAGAATGCCAACATTCCTCTCCCACCACCATTTAATGTTCAGCAATTATCCAAGGAGAGGTCTAAAAATATTGGCCTTCTTGCTTGAGTATCCAAATTAACTCTTACAACTTTAACATAAAACCAGTAACATTTGTTTATTATCAACTTTATAAGAAAAAATCAAGCTTGTTCCATGTTCTTCTGTCCTAGGCATCAAGATGGAAAGGGCTGAAGCAGCCTGCTGGGGGGTGGCGGCCCATAGAGAGAAACCAGAACCTCATCACTGGAAAGCTCACATAGCAGCTAAAATGGGAGTGGGAAGGCTCCTTCTCATCCGACCCAGGCATTGCACAATAGCATTGAGATACGCTTCTGAAAAACTGAGGTCAGGTCAGCAAAAATAGCACACAGTGCAAGCAGCGAGTGAGTCAGGGCAGAAGCAGCATGGGCCGGGCGGCAGCACATGGAATTTCACCGGAGCTATTCGTCAGTGGCAGAGCAGTTGCCCATTGTTGGATGTCAGCTGCCCAGATTTGCACATAAATGTCCAGACAGGGCATTCCCTGGTCACACTGCTTAATTGCATACAGCTAATAAAATGTGCCACTGGCATGCCAAGCCTACACAACTGTTTGAGGCACTCAGTTTTTACATGTTTTAAAACAGAGGTGATAACAGGCCAGGCACATTTTTCCAGACCTGACTGCACATTTCATTAGTAGTAAATTGATTGGATTGGCTCCACAGAAGGCTCACATCATGGTGGGGGCCCTAGCTTTATCTTTAATTTAGGGTAAATACTTTATCTACATATAATAAATTGTAGGAGTACACAATAGATTCAACCAATTCAGTTAATTTGGAAAGACAAGAGCAGCTTTTCCCAACCTAGTGTTCTTCAGATATGTTAGACTGCAAATCTCATACTCATAGATTAAGCAACAAAGGATGAGTTTGCATTTCTGTGAATTTAGCCTATGAATTCTGCAGTGGACTTTCAAAGCAGTTTTTCACTTGTTGGAAATGGGTGGCTCAAATTAGCATAAATGCTCTTTTGAAATTGATATATTCAAATCTATGTAGTTGATTTTTTCCTTTCCCTCTTTATAATATTGCCAAAATGATATAAAAATAAAAAATGGGATGAGATTTCCACTAATGTGCATCAGCACAAATATGAATTAGCAGAATAATTTCCATCAGTGAGCAGATGATGTGATGAAAGAAGCCGACAATCTATGAAACGCAGATTGAATGGATTTAATGAAATCCATTCATCGTCTCCTGAGCCAGTGCAGGGCACTGGGTTCAGGAAGCTTGGATTAGAGAAATGTCCAAATTAAAGCCAACAAAATCCATATCTGGACATTGGGGAAGCTTCATAAGCAGTTCAGAGATTGGAGAGACACAGACACTGTACTGGCAAAACTGGATATATTTGCAAGTTATTTAAGTGT